CCCCCCCCCCCCGCCCCAGCACTGTTTTCTTTGCCTTTAGTTAGACTTTTTTTGTCCTTCTGTGCTATTTGACTCGTAAAAGGCTCTCTTCAGACCCCAAATACAAAACCACCTTTTTTCTAATCCCTTCAGAAGCCTGACGTGCGGCTCTCCAGAGGCAGCCTCGATCGAGAAGACGGGAGCCTCCAGGGTCCGGTAAGCACCCCCCACCCGCCGCCGTCTTTTCATCCATCTTAACGGGGAAGCGTTTGTCTGATTTTTCTCGGCGGAAAAGGCTGTTCACGTCTCGGTGGCCGCGGTCAGAGACGTTTTGATCTGCATGATTCTAAATGTCTGCTGCGAGAGGTTTCCAAAGGCTTGGCTCGTGCGGGGATGGGAGTGACAGGGAAGTCTTGTTCACGCAGCACTTTGGGGGCTGCTTCTTTTCAAGCTACTGCCGGAACAGATGCTTCTCTTCCCCCCCCAAAACAAAGCTCTAATTATTTTTAAAGCAGCTGTGTGGTCCTCCGCCAGGGTTCTGGGTCCTTGTTTTTCCCCGTTGCTTCAGAGCTAGCTTTGCTTCGATATCGCTGTCAACAGGAAGCAGATTTTTCAAATAACTCCTGCAGATGTCGAAGTCACTGGGGAGAGCGTTCTCCAAAGTAACGTGGCTTTTTAAGAAGCACTGTTTATTTGTTGTAATATTGATACACCCTCCTTTCCTTTGCGGCTCCAAGCACCTTACAGTCCTAAATTAAAACTTCTTTTTCATAATAAAACAAAGCCCTGTTCCTTCCCCCAAGAAACTGCCTGTGGCTCACACCCCACTAACTGCCCCAGCAAATTTATAAGGCTCATAGAATCATAGAATGTTAGAGTTGGAAGGGACCTTGCAGGTCATCTAGTCCAACCCCCTGCACTCTGCAGGAGCATAGCCGAAAGAGAGCCCTACAACATACCCGGAAGATGGTTGTCCAGCCTCTGTTTGAAAACGTCCAGAGGGATTTGAAATGTCACTCCCATCTGCTTGAAATGTCACTCCTGTCCTCAGGGTGGGGCCCCACTGTTGAAAAGGAATAGTCTCCAGCTGCCAGGTGAGGGGGGGCAAGCCGGTGGTGACAGCTGTTGTGGTGGTGGGAAGTGCAGTCTAGGTACAGGACCCCCCTCAAGGGATTTTGAAGGCAAGCGATGTTCAAAGATGGTTTGCCTTTGCCTGCCTCTGCATAGCAACCCTGGACTTCCTTGGTGGTTTCCCATCCAAGCCCTAACCACAGCTGACCCTGCTTAGTTTCTGAGGTCTGACCAGATGGAGCTAGCCTAGGCTACCAAGTCAGGGTATGGTGACAGTTAGTACAGGTAATTGGTGTGTGGGGATATGTCAGGGAGAGATGGCTCCTCAGATATGTGGGTCCTTGGCCTCTGGAGGGTCGGGGTGAAGCAAGCTTATTGTCAAACAAATGAACTGGATCCAAACTGTGTTGCTGTATTGGCAGTACAGGTGCAATTGTGGTAGAGTCTTGCTAACAATGTAAAGATGCCTTATCCTACAGGTGGTGGCAGCTCCAAGTATGGACAGCTTCAAGAGGGAATTAGATAAGCATATGCAGCACAGTTCCATCAGTGGCTATTAGCCACAAGGTATAGATAGGAACTCTCAGTCTGGGGCAAGTGATGGATTGTATTCTTGCTGCTTGTGGGGGGGGGCAATAGTGGGAGGGCTCCTAGTGTCCTGGCCCCACTGCTGGACCTCCTGATGGCACCTGGTATTTTTGGCCACTGTGTGCCATGGAGTGTGGAACTGGATGGGCCATTGGCCTGATCTAACATTGGCTTCTCTTACGTTCTTATGTGCCTAAGATTTATCTCTTTGGGGAAGAAATGTTTCATTTTCACTCTTCCTCGGCTCAGAGACCACTTTAAAACAGCTTCCCTGGGCGAGACAAAGGCTGTAGAAACTCATTTCTATAGATGGTCTGGCTGAAAGAGTCACAGCTGATGTGTGAGTGGCCATCTAGACCAAAGAAACCCACAGCTCAGAGGATAGTCATGGAGGCTGTGCCTGTCTTGACATCTTCCGAACCCAGAGTAAAATTTTCCAGCTGGTAGAGTGGGCGGGAAATGAGGGGAAGGAGAGAGGGAATGCTTATTTTGTTGGTTCAGAGAGTCTGCAGAGATTCCGAGGAGGGCGAAAGATCTGTATTTTGCTCTTCTCTGCTGGGAAAGAAAAGAAACCTCGGGGGCTGGTTGGAAAGTGCATGTCTTCAGGAGGTGGCTAATCTAACTGGGAGAAAGAGATGGCAACTGGGACATAGGTAAAATGTCCTTCAGATGTATCATCATAGAGATT